TCGTATAATCGACGGAAACTTTATTGCAAAAAAAAAAGAAAAAAAAGAAAAAGGTATTTCAAAAAAAAAGCTACTGTGGCGTATTATGTTAGCGTCATGTCACCAAGACTTGTCATGTAACATCCTCAGGTCATCATCCGGCCAGCCAACCATACTTCTCCCGATAAAAAACTCAAAATCTCTACAATGAAGCTTAAGTATGTACCTCAGAACTTTCTTATAGTCAAATATGGCAAGTTGATGGGTCCCAACTGGTGACCAGTCAACAAAGCCACGCAGAGGAGCTCTTCCATATTAACACAAAAACAGGAGGGGTAATCTACTAGGGTCCTGTGTACAATTTCTCGTAACGAAGGGATACTAATTTCTAGCAAACCCAGGATCTAGTAGACCTCTCCGACACATATGGAGCAAGCACCATTTACCGGATTGGAGTGGACTTCTAATGAAAGCTGCAGCGTTTAATTGAGCTAACTAAGCTGAGTTGTGAATGACAAGAATCTTGTATAATTATAGAATTGGATATTGTGTGCTGACATAAGTATGAAGATTTTAGTTATCCCTTCGTGCCCTTCTTTTCTTTCTTTCTGGCACAATCCAACTGTTGCCAAAAAGCAATTCCTCAAGATTACCTTGATGCACAGTAATTAAGGGGTCATACCCAGATTTTGATCAGTTGGTTAAATACCTAATTGCAGCCGATTTCAACGCTTGCTGCGTACTTAGGACATACGTCCTTTGATCACTTGTCCAGAGAATTCCTTTAAGACAACGGCTTCTTGGGTAAGCAAGGCCTAAACCTCCTCGGTCCTTGATTCAGTTACGGAAACAAAATAGTTACGGCCGTAATTGGAGCCGGTGTAACTATTGCACCACGGTCCTCTCTAGCTAAGTTATGTATGTACACGCACTTCTGACATGGCGGCAACAAAGCTTATTGAAGAACGTATTACTAGAATACACTCCAATAAAAATGGATTCGACCGCAACTCGGAATAATGATTTCCGAGAACAATTTACTCAAACGGAAGTGTGTGTCTTTCTCAAGAACATGGACTCCTATCACAATGTGTTAAGAGTAGATTAGCCCATGATTTGGCACTAAGTATGCTGCAACTACAAGCTGAGATGGCTGATCGCTGATTACAATTATCTAGATATGTCTCCGGGACACATACCGCTGAACACAATCTAGCTAGGACTTCAACAACCTGCAGGCCAAAAAATAAACTTAAGGGCAAAGCTTACCGAAACCTATCACAGGATCGAAAATTTCCTGAGGATTTTCGTTTGGAATACGCCATACACTATCGGGTATGTGACATGATGGTGGTGGCGCCCATAGGGTTAAGAGCTGTATGCACATTGCACAAGCAAATAGGAAGATAATAGTTCAAGCCACACCGCCACGTTCCACTCATTTACCACAGATACCGTAGTACAGGGCCTAGGGCCGATTGAGGAAATATCTGTTGATGCAGCCGGCGACGCCATGTCTGATATTCTCTTTTTATCTCCCACAAGGAATATTAACACATATGATATGTATGTATGTTTTCCCTCATTATGCTTAGTGGAAACATTGAACATCCTCCTTGATCTAAACCATGCAGTACCTATATTGGTAAACTCTGTAGATCTAGAGGTTTAATGAAAACAGATATAGTGAAGGTTGACAGGAACCGACTCACAGGGTGCTACAATTCCGGGGTTATCTTTTTAATATCTCCGTGGGTCTCAGATGGTAATAACTTGAACTGCATACCCTGTACGGACCAACAATACCATGTCACACTTTTGCCTATCCAACAAAAGCATATCACTTTTCGGGGATCGGAGAAATTTGATAGCCATCTGAACATGATCTCAGTTATGCCGTAAGCTTACACTCTCATCTATTATTTCCCAAGATAGACTAACTCTCGACCTCAATCCCCGTAGTAGCTACTGTCTTGTCTCGGAGTGAATCGGGGCGCCATTTTTCAGCAGTATTATGATGAAGGTCGATCTGGCTATTATCTTTCAATTCAATAGTTTAAGATTTTAAGAGACCTTTTTACTATCGATTCGGGGAAGTACAAGCCCAGGACAAGGATTCAAATCTCCTTAGCAGCCAAATACTCTCGTTTCCCGTACGTCAGAGCACATATATATTCTCAAATAATTCTCGGATACTTTACGCAATCAGTGAAGGCTGGGTCAGATGAAACTTGAACGTCCACCGCACACTCTTTAGATAGACCCAAGACTTCGGGCCGAGTACACCATAAGCGGAGTACAATACCAAGGTCAAATGCCAAAGATCAATGAATTTATACCCCCTATTCGATACTATCATGAAGAATCAGATACCCTGCTCTCGCCTCGTATCTGGACAAGACACTAGTACGAAGCGTAGAAATATACACGAGTACAAGCTAGTTTAATTGGCATATCTTCCGCTCGCGATGCGGGCGTTTACTCCCCATATCTAAAAATCGGTTTAACTACAAACAATCGCTACCAAGAACTGACTTTAAATCTTAATCTTGGCTCCAAAGATTCAAACTCATAAAGGCTACTAATACCAATCCGATCCGAGCACGAACACGTATCATTACATGGCGTATATGCACGCACCAAAGGAGATTTATATTTATAACCATTAGTATTTATCGAAATACACTGATTAAGGGGTATAGATTCCCCTTGTCCATTCTCTAAATGACTAGCAGAATATGTATTGAACTTCACAACTAATCACTCGGCACGTTGAATCCGGCATTGGTGCATACACGGCAAATTCCCTGTTTCTTGGGGAGTTCCACGTTAAGGGGCATAACGAAGATTCATAGTACATGAATTTACCACTAATCTGACTTCGGATTAACAATTATGGCTATTCTACGACCCTTAGAATGAATTTCTATCTGTTATTGTGATCCTTCATTACCGAGCACAAGGTGCTCCGAGTTTACCTACCGAGCTAAACCGGCAATCAAAATATCAGGGCCATAAATAGGAATTTGCGCGCGATGTCTTATTAGTTCAAGGAAGAACCGATACAATCCTGAATTTAACGAATACCTGTGAGAATACTACTGAACTGATTGACTCTCAGGTGCGCAACGCACACTCCTACCCTCAAGATGCTGCGCCTTGAATAAAGAATAGGGGTTTAGGTTGAGATATCCTCTCTTAAGTGAGTACATCTGGGGTAACTAGTGAGACGTTTTGACTAGATGCTTGAAGCCTTGCAATCCTACCAATAGGGAGGTCAATGTCAAGCACCCATGCATCACAATTTTACATACCAAGTAGTACCTGAGTGCACATGGAATTATTTGTGCGGCATCACTTTCTTTGCTCTAGAGCCCATTTACCGTGGGAGCGGTATATTCCGTGATGGTGGTGGAGAGGATTGCAGACCAATCGGGTCTGCTAGATTGTGTGCAGCCGTGTCTCAGTTCCTATTCGCGAGGGTTGAGGTTGGCGGCGAGAATCCGCTGAGAGAAGCATTGCCAACCGCCAGGCGGAATGTGTGTGGTTGAAAAGCTCATTTTGAGGATGGATTCTGTGTGCCGCCGTCTCCACGAACGCGGTTAATTAAACGCAGGTCAGTTTGACTTTGAATATCCTACCTCCAAAAACCTCCGAAGGAGAAGAAGAAAGAAATGCCTTGCAGGTTGATCATTTTACTCCTAGGTGAAAATCAGCGGCTAGATAGCAGTCAAGACATGGCGCTCCTTGTTTCCAGATTCCGCTAATGATTATTACAGGCAGCACTTTTAATTGTTCCCTGGGATATGGATTCACTACATAGGGTATCGCTACCGGAGGGCAGCCTCATCATCTTGGCTGGGGTATCAGTGATCAAGCTTCCATATCTTCTAGAACCCCACATCTCGTATCTTTTTCTTTACTCCACATAATACCACTCATGCGTCGGATAAGCCTACATATGGTGTTTGGGCCTACACAATATCACCAGCCGGTCTGGATGCCGAACGTTGGTGTCTCACACAAAGACCACAAGCACCGTTTCTGGTTGGTAGAGAACTACCATCAAAAGCTCGACTTGTTTCCCGAATTCTGCAGGGGAGACTGGGACAGCCCTGAGATGCATAGGCGGGAGGAAATAAATGTGGTGGCTTGCATGGAAGTCCGTTTCCTCTACTAAGACTAAAGGCCCCATTTGGCTTTCAAATCCCGTTTGCTAGTTAGGCGAGCAAAAAAGGAATCTTTCAAAACGAGTTTGGTCTACCAAACTTAAGTTATATTTTTGGCTGGCATGGTGGGTTTTGGCGAAAGAAACGCAGGTCCTACTTCCAGTTATTTTGGCATCCCAGTATCCCAAATTCCTACAAAATGGTATGTCAAGCACAAAAGATTTTGGAAAACGGAATTATGAATGGAGTCCTACCAAATGCCGTTGCTAAACGGGCCTAAGCAAAAAACTAATGCAGCCAAGAAGTGATCTGAAGCATAAAAAGATCATGCATTTCAGCTACTCTACTAGTGCTCTACTCGACATAACTCCAGGAGCCACCAAATGGAGCTACTGGAGATACAGTACCTGTTTGAGGAATCGACGTATCACCTGTAAAGTTTAGGGAGAGTGAGAATAATAAGTCTCTACCAAATGTATTGCACCCCCCAACGGGCCGTTCCCGATGCACGCCATATCTCTCCAGTATTCCTAATTGGGGCCCGTGGGAAAGTGGCTAAAGTCCAATTATCCTGCCACTTTTTACAACATCTGTTTTGTGTAATTTTGTCTCACTTTGTTTCCCTGATTATCAAGAGAGGGGGGTAGACTGAGACCAATATTTTCTCTAAAAAGAAATAAAAGCCATGGAGCTACATGGTCCTTCTCCTCCCAACGAACCCCTTAGTTATATAAAATCAGAGCGCTCCTAAGACTATAAGCATCCAGCTCCCAAATCCTCGGAATCTACCCGCTCCCAACTACATACCCAGAACAAAAAGGCATATATATTTACGCGAATCAACCCCACGCCATGTCGAAATACGTCATTGAAGTTGATCAAGATCATGGAAGCACCGATTATACAAGTGGTTATGATAGTGATACAACGAGCCTTTCAAGTGCGGTGAAGGACCATGTTTATGAGAATGGGAGACGATATCATGGATGGCACGAGGTAAACAATTTTCCCAATCATCAAAACCGCGGGAAAGTAAGGCTCAATTGCTAATATACTTGGTATTAGGGGAGATATGCAATGCCCAATGACGAAGAAGAGCAGGACCGGATGGACCTGCAGCACCACATATGTCTATTAGCACTGAAAGGCCGCCTTCACGCATCTCCCCATCTTGAGAACCCGCAGAAAATACTCGACCTCGGCACCGGAAACGGTATCTGGGCCATTGACTGTGGAGAGTAAGTACTCAATCCCTTCTTCGCCCATCTCTGCCCAGGCTCCCGTAACTAACAATTCCACAGTGTATATCCCGATGCCGAAATCATTGGCGTCGACTTCTCGCCGATCCAGCCCCGCTGGGTGCCCCCAAATGTCACTTTCGAGGTCGACGATATAGAGCAAACTTGGACCCATCCAGACAACACCTTTGACATGGTACATATCCGCCAGCTTATCGGCTTCATAGATGACTGGCCCAAGCTCTACGCACAAGCCATGCGGGTCCTCAAGCCGGGCGGCATCCTCGAGATCAGCGACTTTCTTGGCTTTGGTTCTGACGACAACACCCTCCCGGACGACTCAACAATAATGAAGTGGTGCACGATGTGGATAGACGGCATCTCCAAAGCAGGGCGCCAGCTCCCCACGTCCGACCACGCGAAGCAGATGGCGAAGGTGGGCTTCGAGGGTGTCAAGTACGATCCCGTCAAGATTGCGCTCGGCACCTGGCCAAAAAACAGGGCGCAGAAGGACCTGGGATTCTACATGCGGCAGCACATGATTGATGGGTGCGACAGCATCTCGCTCGCCGTGTTTATGAGGTTTCTGAGAATGGATAGGGATACGGTGAAGGAGCTGAATAGTCAGTTCAGGCAGGACCTGGCGAATAGGTCGTACCACTCGCACACGAACTTTCATGTCACATATGGGAGGAAGCCGTTGGTACCTGCTGTTACTGCTGCTGCTGTTGCTGTGAGTGGGGTGTGATGGAACATCTGATGTGCAGGTGATGCCCGGAGAGGCCGGAGGGACCGGGCACCGGGAGCGGGCCGCGTGAGATGAGGGGACAAGGGGCCCGGGTGGAATATTAGATCTGTATAATCTCAATCTATTTTTATTTTTCCTTTTTCCCTCTCTCTCTCTTTTCTTTTTCCGAATCGTGCACGTGTGGTTCGTTTTTGTTTTGCTTTTCCTTTATTACGGTCTGTTTCTTAGCATGTAGGTACATTTTGCAAATGTTGGTATCAACTATTGAGCTCACCTGGTTTGTGAACACCTTACATATACATAAGTACGAGACGTACATTTGCTTTATGTAGAGTACACATTTCTGTACATGTACATATCGCCTCACATGCAATCCCAGAGCGAACCTTAAAACATGCCGGCAAACCTTATAAGCTTATGTGTGACCGACCCCTGAATATACATCACACATACGTAGCACCAAGGGGTGTCGTCCCCTTTCAAACATCTGACATCTGGGGCTGGGAGTGGGCCCTGCTAAGGGGTAATATACATAAGGTATGGGGAAAGGGAAGGGGGGGGCACGGGAAGGATAACCTTAAATCTGGCAGGTGTCATCATATCTATCACTCGGCTCCACCAGCGGGGACCCCCTTCCCCTAGCTAGCTGTACTCCTAGTGGCATGCTCGTCATACAGTGATCTGCCGCCCCCGCTGTATCACACCCACACTCGAGGGTTGTGATAATGATGATGATACTTACAAGTATACGCGAATGGCTTTTTTTTATATTTATTTATTCTCCTGATAACTCCTAAATACAGAAGACAGGATTGGTGAGTGAAGAAGACAAAAAAAGAAGGGGGGTGGGGGGAGGTAGAGGGGGAAAAGGAATCATAAAATCATCAAAGATACCGAGAATAAAGATTTACTCCTGAAAATTAGACAAACCATGTAATAACTATTCTCCACGCGAGTACGAGTGGGGAGGGGGAGAGGGGGTGTTGAATTCATTTTCTACCTCATCCCATCGTAATAATGTAGCCTATGAACTCCTTTTACCGCCATTTTTCTTTAGGAAAGAAGGAAACAATAGAAGGAAAAAAGAAGAAAAAAAACTCCGACCAAAATCCAGACAACTCATGATCAACCACATAACTCCGCAGGTAGGAAAATTGCAAGATAAGGATGGGCGTGTCTGTGCTTCCTCATAACAGAGTTTTGGTCACGAGTGGCTTCCGAGCATAAAGAAGCCATGCCGTCGTGAACGTGTGGATTTTCGGGTTCAATAGGTCCTTCCTGATTTTTACCAGTAGCTCGTCAACATCGGTCTTTTTCCAACCAAGCACACGCGTAAACATATCCAAGGTGATTCCTTCAGCTCCTTCCACCCAGTGCTTCAGCATGCACATCCCAAGCTCCTTAAGATTCGCATCTGGATGCCATCCGCCTGTCGGGATCATGCCCATCTCACCAACAGCATCAACGAACCCAGCAGTGTTGACAATGCTCTTAATATTGGCTGAAACAGAGAGCCACTCTCGCCCACTCCTTATATTCCCCTCTTCCCACAGCTGGACCCATTTCTGAAGGATGCTGTTTTCGTCGCAGGTGCCATCGTTACATTGGAATGGTTTGGAAAGGTCCTGTAGCTCGATATATCCGCCTGGTTTTAGAGCAGTAAAGCATTGCGAGATAAGCCGTGGCCAGTCTTTGATAAAACCAGCCATTCCACGAATGTGGATGAGGTCAAAGCTATTTGGAGGAAAGACCCAGTCATCTTCGATATCCTCGATATGAAAGTCGAGATTTGGTGGCATCCATGGTGGGTTCGTCGGTGCGATATCGTTACCTATTACTTGTGAATCTGGATATTGGCTACTCATTTTGGTCAGAATTCTAATAAATGGTGAGGAATTTGGGAGGGGGGGGGAATAGTTGGAGCGGCTGAACTTACTCTGCAACTTCGATCGCCCAAAGTCCAGTCCCCGTAGCAAGATCAAGAATACGCAGAGGCTCTGGACCAACTGGAGCCTTGAATAACTTCCCAGCTAGCAAGAGAGTCCACATATGATGAGTCAACTCTAGGCGATTCCATTCCTTGTCGTCGTTTGGGAATGGATACTTGACCTAGGAAGCTAAATGTTAGTACAGCCCCAAAAAAAGTTTCTACCCCCAAGGCGCGTAACAGCAAGGGAGAAAAATACACAAATCAGATAAAGCTTACCTGTCGCCTAGCAAAATATCGACGACCGTTCTCATACTTGAAATTATAGTCGCTTGATAGGATGGACGATGGATAACTATCCCCGGAAGCATAGTCAGAATCGTCGTCGAAATACTCGATGGACGGGGCCATAGGCGACATCTGTTGATAGCCAGAATCCTCGCCTCCAATTTGGGAACAATCGATGTTCATGGTTGGCAGATTAGAAGAAATAGAGTGTGCTGAGTAACGATCGTTTGGCCTGGCACTGCTAATTTACCTTACTCTATATCTTGAAAAGCTTGATTGTTGTGACAAGTAAAGCAATGTAGATTCGCAAAAAGAGAGCTAGAGCGAGTTGAGGGAGTGATGCTTTCCAGGTCGGCGGGTTCGTCGTAGGGCAAGGTGATATCTTCTGTTCCCGCCTTTTCGCTTCGAGTATTCGATCGTAGGCTGCTCGTCTGTTCGTGGGGGTGGTTCGGATTCCTGTATGTACAGCCACTGCATACCTCTGGGGCTGATTTTTATTTTTTATTTTATTGCGCGTAGGAGGTGTAATGGATAATCGATCATATCATTGTGAGCCGTTTGTTCGGCTTTTCTCTCGCATCATCCTTGTGAATGTGGCTCAACAACATCCGGGGCTGATTGTAAGAGGGTAAATTCATCCTGGCCCCGGTATTTCTTATCAACTTTGTGGAGCATAGGAGTTGTGTCTAAAGGATATGTATGAGTGTGTATCAATTCTGTGGGACCTGTTTAGTATTTACTGCGCCGTGTAACAATGAACCGGTGGGTGAATAACCTTCATCAAAACACAGCATCGGACGTGGTAGGCGGATGTGTCAATCATTAATCTGGAAAAAGTACCGTTAGTATCCACTATTCAAACGTTCTTGTGATGGGTTCCAATAATTACCGTGAAAAGCTCTCCCTCCCATTCGCAAAAATTGGATTTATGGTCATTATTATATAGTAGATTCAAGTTAAGTTACTAAAACTTACTAATTAAGCATCGAGCTATGATACTTTGGTACTTCTTCTGCAAGCCACAAAATATTTGAGACATTCCCCGCAAAATTATTGGATTTACCCATCCTACTTGAACCGTCTTCAAAAAGAAAAGATTGTCCTCGGGATCACCTACCGTGTCTCAAGACTAGGCGAACTTTGTTTTGTCGGGTATACTCGCGGCAGGCAACAAGAACCTGAACATCGTTTTTCTGGTAGCAACCACTTTGACCCTGCTAGCGCGTTTTTATGTTCAGGTTCTTGTTACTGTCGCGAGTATATTGATGTTCACCTGCATCACACCTAATCGGGAGCAATATTGAGAGACGCCGAGTGACATATCATGCTTGACATTGTTGCACTACTTCTTGAGCGGGATGTAGAAAAGATCGACCTAATTTAAAGCTATTATTTATTTATGAAAGTGCTAATGTTTAATATTAAGAAACCTAAAAGGAAAGTAACATTAGCTGTGATTCATCAAAAACTAAAGGGAGTTTATAATTATACCTTCAAATCCTCCACGCGTTTCTTTCAACAAGTAGCAAGCTGCATCATTATTGAAACGATATCGTTCCAACGATATATATATAATATCGACATTACTTCTCGCCGAGTTTTTCAGTATCCCTCCACGCTCGCATCTTGCACCTAAGCCAGCACTTTCTATGCCTACCACCTACTCCTTCCCACAATCCTCTCAGAGACATAAACCTAAGACCTTTCGCCATAGGAACCTCCTCCACGAGCATAGTGAGTCTCTTGAAGTCCCCACTATTGAGGTTCATTGTTTTTCTATCGCCCTTCTTATCCGCGGATCCAGGGAGAGGATCACTCAACGAACGCTTAAGAAGACCAGAGAAACGAGAGTCGCCAGAAGGCTTCTGGGGTGGCCCCTCAACATTAGGGTCCGAGGTTCGTCTCGTCATGCCAAAGTCGAGATGATAGTTAATATAGCTAGCATCTTCGTCGACCACCCATTCTGGAGCCATCGAACGAGAATTCCCAAGCTCGCTGCTGCAATAACCATAACTAGGAGAGCAAGGAAGATCATAAAATGGGACATCGAGTCGAGGGAGATTTCGACAACCGTTCGCGGTAGAGTCGCAGATGTGGGCCTCGCGATTATATTGCTGTACGAAATGTTGAGTATATGCCCGTTGGCGAGCATACGTGGATGGATATGAGCCTTGAGACCTTTTGCTTGAACGATACCCAGTGCCATCGAAATAACTTTCGAAGATATCAGGATCCTCATGGGTTGTATCAGATATTCTAGAGCTTATTCTCGCCAGGGCATTAAAGGAACCGTCATCAGTTATGAAACTGAACGTCCTGTCATCGTCGATCGTAGAGGTTTCATCATGACCAAATAGTGCCCACCAAGTATCCGGTGTAGGAACATTGCTTTTGTTCATTACCGGTTCCACATACGAGTACCTAATCCTCGTATATGTCTTTGAATTTTCATTCATACCGGCCAAAATCCTCTTGACACCCCTCTCCGTTAAAGATTGACACCCCTCTAGGATCAATGAATTTCCCTTTCTAGTGGAGTTTAATAACTGGCATCCACCTAAAATCCACGCTAAACACTCGTCTGTGAATCCTGCAACACCTTTTACTTGAAGCTTCTTTAGTCTCTCTAATCTTTCGTAGGTTCTAAACATTTGATCCCCAGGAACAATGACTCTTGGGGGGTAATATTCCTCGTCGCTGAGACGAAATGTCTCACAGCACATGTCTATAATCAGCTGCTCTAGACTTCGCGCACATAACGAAGAAATTGCACAAAGAAGAAACGTAGCAGGCTGAAACAAAAGACAGAGACCATTGGTGATACGAAGATGCTTCAAGTGTTGTTTACTGACAAAGCCCGGCACTGTGAGTATGGCGGTCTGAAAAGCAACACCAGCCCCCGGGAAATCGAGAGTCAGAGATTCAAGTGCTTCAGTATGCGACTCCAAGGCAATCCTAAGATTTAGGACAATCTTCTTAGACGCTTCACGGCGTGCATGGGGCGTTGTATAGAAAGAATACTGTGTTTTCTGCAGCCAGCAGAGGGTCAAAGACTTCAATGCAGTGCTTTGACCAGGCCAAGCGGATACCGAGAGGTATGAGACGAATTTGATCAGAGATAAAGCAGAACGGGTTATGATTCTGGAGTAAACATCGTTCTTGAAAAGATTGCGAAGATATGAACAAGTCGACGAAAGTCTCAGCATGAGTGCCCGCCTGGAGCGAACGGAGCGAGAGCTCAATTTGATGACATGAAGCATGATCTTATGGAAAATCTCAACAGGGACTCTTGGGAAGATCTGGGGATTGGGTGATGGCCGTTGCCGGAGGTCATTTTTCTGGCAAGGGGGAGGGACAGGAGGAGATGAATAGTTGGCAGAAAGTAGCCTGATGCCCATCTTGAGATGAAAGCAGGGATTATCGGGATGGGTCTTCAGCGACTAGGACTAGTTCTTCTTCGTATTGCAGCACTCGAGAGATAGATGAGGGCTGAGAGTCGATGACTGCAATGGATATGTATTGTCGATAGCTCCAAGTAGTGGCCTGAGGATCGCGGGTTTCGAGGTATCACAGCGAGAGATAAAGAGGACTTGGGGGGGATGAAGTGGTCTCGTGCTCATTTCCTACGAACAGCCATCGTGGGAACAAATCCACAGATAAAGCCACGTCAAGCTAAATATCAAACAGGCGACGTTGTGATAGCGGAATGCCAAAGTTTATTCTGAGTGCTAGCGTGGGAGAGCGACCGAGTGCTAGGTTATGATTCAAATGTTTATCTCCAACCCTCGAAAACCTCAACGGAACGTTAGAGCAACATGCACCTCATATCTTCAGGAGTCATTAGTCGTTTAACGGGGCTGGGGTAACTCTGTGACAGAAGCACAATCTAGTTATGAAATCAGACTTTTGAGCGGTGAAGAATCAATTGGAAATTCACTCGTGGTATCAATGCCCTCATGATCAACCAATGCATATACCGGCCGGTCGTCTTTCTAATTGAGGGCAGCTTTGATGTACATGTATAATCTCAGGTCGTATGTTACGTGTAACTTTGTGATGGCCAAGGACAATGGGCCAAAAAAAAAGAGGCAGAGAGCCAATTTCCGGCGTAATGACGGACCCTACATTCGAATCCGACATATGGTGTGTTCCGCGAATCTCCTCGAGCAAGTTTTTTTTCTTATTTTTTATTTTTTGACTTTTTTTTTTGACATCAACCACAAGGATACGTGTCATGAATTTCGACGCTGCTGGCACTACATGTATCTTCGGAGGATGGTCCTTGAGAAACACTCAGTTAATGAGGTTACAGGAAGTCTTACCCGGAATAGCCAGGATCTTTTCGTGCGGTCTGTCGCGCGGTCTGAGGGAGTATCAATCAGCCAGAGAAGAAGAAGGTCCTGGATCAATTGGAACTAGTCGGTGAGGGCGCAAGGAAATGATTTTATTTCTCCAACATTCCCATGGGCCATATGCCGATATATGATGAGCATGCCTGGGAAACTTGCTTCGCGAGCCTTTTTTTTTTTTCTGTCTGTGGCGGCTATGGGAAGAACCACACAAGGCTCGCACGTGCTATATGCCTGACCGGATTATCGTGGGGAACGGCTGGCTGGACGTCATCGCGATCGGTTTCAGCACTTTTTCATGCCGAAGGGAATTACTGGACCGGTGCACACTGAGGATTCCAGGAACTGCCCCTCCTCTTATCGTACCCGCTGCTTATCTAGATGTTTCATTACTTGCAAGGATCATCACACGAGGAAGCTTGCGAGGTCATAAGGTGTTGTTGATGTGGCGCAGATGATATGCATGCGCCACATTCCAGGGTGGCTCTTGAATGGACGGCCAGACGTCGCTGCATGGAAACATGTTCGAGTTTCCGCATGCATGCCATGCAGTGATTAGCGGCGTGTCTCTAGCCACGATGCGATGCCTTGTGCCTGGAGCTTGAAGAATATGTGCGGACCACTGAGCTGCTGCACTACTGCTACTGCAGCTAGCTGCCGGCTCTAGGTACCAGAATTCGAGACGGGTGTTCGAATACCCTTCCTCCCTATGTCTCGGTCTGGTGTCTGAGTCCTCCCCACCACCAAGCAGCTTTTCTACTCTATCTAGATTCGATAACTCCTGCCACTGTGTGGTGTCCCCCCCCTCCTCCTCATGATTCCACTTTTTTTTTTTTCTGCTTACCTTTCCTTTTCCTAGTCTGACATTGCCAGCCCGCCCCGGCCCCCCCTTACAATTCGTGAATATAAATAAAGGTTATTTTCTGCTCCTCCTCCGCACCCCTTTCTTGCTAGCTAGCTACGGTCTGTCCCGCCACCTCTCACCATTATATCGAGCACCCCCCTTTGCACGCAAAAGTGTCCATCTGTCATCTTAGGATTCCCATTGACTACACGTTGCATCACCAGTTCCATTGCCCCCCCTAACGTCCTCCCGCCCTTCTCCCATCTAAGCTGTGTTGTAACCACCACTTTTGCCACCGTCTCGAACTCTGAAATCCTAAACCCATCCCTAGGAATCTTTGTATAACAAATATGAGCCCCATCGCAACCAGCTCAAGCTCAAGCTCAAATTCGAGCTCAGATACCGCTCCTAATGGTAATGACAGCTCTAACACATCTGTGGCTACAGACTCAACAGAGGTCATCAAGCCAGTGATTGCTATCATCGGAGCTGGTGTGTCAGGGCTCAAGGCCGCCCAGGTGCTGCTGGACAAGGGCTACGAGGTGGTGATATACGAGGCCCGGGACAGGGCCGGTGGCAGGACATGTACAAGTGATCGTCTGGGAAAGGAGGTCGACCTGTAAGAGACCTCCCCATCCATCCATCCATCCCTCAATCCATCCATGCTATGAAACCCACACCCACACCCACACAAAAAAAATGTGAATATGAAAATGAGAATGAGAAAGTAACCGGCTGCTTCTATATATGTGTGTTTTCCGCGACATTCAGAGGGCCAAACTGGATCCACGGCACCTCAAACAACCCCATAGTCCCGCTGTCGCAGCTCTCCGAGTCGCAGCTGCACCAGTACTCGGACATCTGCCCCATCTTCACGCCCGGCGGCGACGTCATGGACCAGGCCGAGGCCGACGAGCTGCAGGACCTGCTGTGGCGCGTGATTGAGCGGGCCGTCGAGTACTCCAAGGGCTGCTACGCCGCCATCCCCGCGGACAAGTCGTTCTACGACTACTGCGTCGAGAAGGCGGAGGAGCTGTTTGGGTCGAGCCCCGACACGGTGCGCGAGCAGGAGGGCGCGGGGACTGCGGAGGGCGGCGGGAAGGGCGGCGTCAAGAGGGGTGGCCATGAGCATGTGAGGTGGAAGGGGCAGGAGGAGAGGAGGAAGGAGATTTGGTTGGCGATGGCGGAGATGTGGGGGACGTTTATTGGGAGTAGTGTGAAGAGGCAGAGTCTGAAGTTTTTTTTCTTGGAGGAGCCTTTGGAAGGACGTGAGTACTGTGCTGATGGATATTTTTGCTTGTTGTTTTCTGATTGTTGTGCTGCTGGGGATGCTTTTACTGACGTGTGGTTTGGGAGAATAGCAAATCTGTTTGTTGCGAGCACTTATAAGCTCATGATTCAGACTTTGTTGAAACCGGTATTGGACGCCAATATCCTCAAGCTCGACACGCCCATTGACGAGATCACAACCATCACAGAGGACGGCCGGAAACGAGTGTTCCTCAGCAGTCTTCGAAAGCCGCAGGAGAACCGTCTGGTGGATGGAGTGATCGTTACTACACCTTTAGGCTGCCTGAAGCGTGACATGATCAAATTCCAGCCACCACTTCCCCAGCGGATAAAAGATAGCATAAGCTCCCTAAGCTACGGCAACCTCGAAAAGGTCCGCCCCACCTCCCTCGCGTTCCCCCAGAAGACCACAAGCTAACAAACCCCGCTCCTGCCAGGTATACATCAAGTTCCCGCGCGCCTTCTGGGGCTCCGACGGCCCCGACTTCTTCACCTTCCTCGCCCCCACCTACGCGCCCACCACCAACCCGGGCCACTGGCACATGTGCTGCTTCTCGCTCGCACACCTGCCCGGCGACTGCGCGCAGCCCACCCTCCTCTTCTACGTCTTCGGCCCCATCTCCGCACACCTCACGGGGACCCTCCCCCCCGCCACCACCCCCGAGGGCCGCAGCCAATACCTCTCCTTCTTCGCCCCCTACTTCTCCAAGCTCCCCAACTACACCCCCACCTCCGCCGACTGCACGCCCACCGACCTAGTCGCAACAGAGTGGTCGCGCGACCGCTGGGCCGGCTACGGCAGCTACTCAAACTTCCAGGTCGGCCTCACGGCCGGCGGCGACGACATCGAGGCGCTGCGCGACGGCGTGCCGGAGCAGCGCCTGTGGTTCGGCGGCGAGCACACCGCCCCGATCCTGGGGCTGGGGAGTGTCAGCGGCGCGTACTGGTCCGGCGAGGACGCGGCGGAGAAGGTGGGTGCTGCGTTTGGCGCGGTGGTGACGGCGAGGGGCGATGACGATGCAAGGAATGGGTGCAGGAGTGGCGTGCAGAAGAGTGGGCGCACGAATTGGTATGGGAAGACGGTGCATGATGGGCCTACGGCGGCGGCGGTGGCGGCGGCGGCGGGGCAGTTGGCGGTTTAGATGTGGGGGGTGGGGAGATGTGGGGGGTGGGGAGATGGGGGAGTGGGAGGATGTGGGAGATGGGGGAGTGGGAGGATGTGAGGGATCGGGAGTGGGGAGGTGGGGGAGAGGTGGGGGAGAGGTGGGGTTTGTATTATTATAACAGTGGCGGCGGCGTTTGTGTGAGTTCTTTTATTATTTTGTGTTATCACTGCTCGTAGCATAAGTATCAGGATCAGTACCAGTATTAGCATTATTAGTTGCATGGAATGCAGGGCCGGGATCGATGGGGTGGGGTGGGACGCAATTACTGCCTGCAGCTGCGGAAGCTCTCCAACTCGGATCGAGCTTCTGGGGCCAGGCTCTTAGACGAATGGAAGCAAACAAGAAATCCCTCTCCCCGGTGTTCTGTGCTTGTGATTGGCCCACACGCGCGCGAATGGGAATGGGTGTGCAGCTGTGCATGAAACCTAACCCTCGCTGCTGCCAATGGCCGGATGGAGACGAGACCAGCCGGATCGGGATAGCTCGGGCAGTGTGGGCGAGTGATGGGCTGTGATGCGCTTTGCGAATGTCTGGCTGCTACATGTAGCTTACTTGCACTGCGTTTTCTGCTGCGGTGATCATTACCGATCTTCTCTCTCCATGTTTACTCGATCGTGAGAGCGTTTTCAAGACCAACTCCACCACTCTAGCTCCTCCCCCCACATGTCGCGATTTCAAGTCCACAATAACCCCACAGTCCTGGTCAATGTCAACATGAAAGACCCCCACAGAATAAATAGCAGCCCCACCAGCCAGCCCCCCCCCCCCTCTCCCCAATTCAAGCCCTATGATATCCCATAATTATGAATATATCCCAGCACCAAATACCAAAATGTTCTCCTGCACGCCCCCCTACGCCACAATCCGCACCCTCTACCAAGAGCACCTCCTCTACGCCGAGCAGCAAGAGCTCGCCCGCACCCTCGCCTCCGACCTCTACCGCCAGACGCGGCTCCAGGGCCAGGCACAGCGGCAACGGCAGGGCCTGGCCTACGTAGAGCCCGGGCGGCAGCGACGGCTGCATGCGCGGCGCGAGGAGGTGCGGCGGCGGATGGAGCGCGAGCGGCGGGAGAGGGCTGAGCGGGATGAGCGGGAGCAGCGGGAGCTGGCGGAGAGGTGGGCGAGGGATCGGAGGAGGAGGAGGAGGAGGGATGCGGAGCGGGATAGGAGGGGGAGGGGGAAAGAGGTGGACAGAAAAGGGAAGGGGAAAGAGGTGGACAGAAAAGGGAAGGGGGGGCAGGTGGATAGGAAAGGGAAGGGGAAACAGCGAGATGATGAGGAGGATGATGATGATGATGATGATGATGACGATGAGGAGCCACTGTCGTGGTTGGCAATGACGAGAGGGGCCATAGTCCTTACTGGCCGGAGAAGAAGGGGCAGATGGGGCGGGCCCCCTGTCCCGCCAGATGCGCCCATTCCCAGGCCTCCCCCCAGACAGCCTCCCCCACCCCCGCCCCCGCCCCCACCCCGAGACCAGCGCAGAAACCCTCCTCCTCCTCCTCCTCCTCCTCCTCCTCCTCCTCCTCCTCCTCCTCCTCCTCCTCCACCACGGAACCAGCGCAGAAATCCGCCAAATCCAAACCCAAATCCAAACCCAGACCACACCCCCCCCGCCCACATCCCCTTCCCCCGCAGAGAACCCCCCACCACCCCGCAAGCCCAAGAGCCCAGCACCCCGCGCCGCATCTTCTCCTGGGACGGCATCCACCGCCTCCGCAACTCCCGCTACTTTGGCCAGCAAGACCGCCCCCTCCAGCCCCAACCGCGCATCGAAGACCGCAGCCGCCGCAGAGCACTGCGGCTGCAGCTGCAGCGGCCAGACGACCACCGGCTCCCGTCCCACCAGCCGCCGCCAGTGCCGCGGCTGGGGGACCGGAGCCGCCAGAGAGCGCTCGATAACCTCGGCCGTGCGCCGGCCGAGCCCCGGAGACCGCTGCCCCAGGGTGTGCCGAGACGGGAGGAGGAGGAGGAGGAGGAGGAGGAGAGGAGGAATCCGTTGAGGGCGTTGCTTGCGGGGAGGAGTAGGAGGAAGGGGTAGATTTGTTTATTATTAGTTTTTATTAGATTTTTGTTATATGTATAAGCTCTGGCTACTAGCTACATGATATATTAAAGCAGTGTCTGGAGGTGAAAATAAGTTTTTTTTTTCTTTTGGATATTAAGACTATCTGAAAAATGTGGGAGTGGAGAGACTCGAGATTATTCACCTGGGCCGATAAAAGTGTCCCCGATTCATGTAATCCTTTTTCGAGACGGGACATGTTTGATATTGATTTTACAAGGTGATTTTTTTTTTGCGGATTCTAAGCGTTGTCGCTTGCGCAGTAGGATGTGCCTCTCACTGCTGTTCTCGCTAATCGATTCATGTGGTCGAGATTTAATTCAGAACTTGAAAGTCTTTTCTTTGAGTCGCCCTCTCTCTCTGGTTTCTTAGATTACGTGATAAAGCTTTTTCTTTCTTTCTCGTATGCCGACTTACGGTGATGATTTGCCGCGTGACACAGCCGGCCATGACCCCTAGCTTCACAGGATCTCACTCGATGTCACGTCTGCGTCAATCCAGGGCTAGGGCCAAACCCATAGACGCGCCCATAGTTACTATCATATATGCAATCCATGAAGGCGCCTTTTGAGTGGAACTTGCTTTCGATGTGTCGTCGTCGCTAAGGATCCGGATGGGAGCGTCATAGGTGGTCACTCGAAAAGCGTCGAGATTGATCCTGAAGCGAGATTTTTGTTTTGTCTAATTCATCGGTAAAAGACTACAATGCCACGGACTTTTGTGATATGTATCTAGGATACCAGGGCAACCACCACCTGGGTTTCATAGACAAAACTGTGAAATCAAAATCAAAAAAAGGAAGTTCAGCTTTGGGGGTATTTTTTTACTCTAATTTTCTGCTATTTTTCTATTGATAGTGAAGTCGTGGGATATTCGGTGCATGCGCTGGTTGCCAATAATCATAGTTAGCGCTGGCGTTACACGGTTGACCGTAGACTCTACGGTGTTCTTTCCGTTGCTTACCCTACACAGTAGACCGTAGTGACTACGGTCTACAGTTGATTGCTTACACTGTATAATTGAACACAATAGTGACTATGGTGTTGAATTAGTTAGTTATGCTTAGTTAGGGTTAGATTTTTGCTGCATGTGCTGGTTGCCATGCATGGCACCCTAGATATATATATGACAAAAAGCCGTGGCATTGTAGTCTTTTACCGTTAATTCATTTAAATCCTGAAGCGATATTTCCAGTGAAGATTGGGCTTGTATATTACAACCAATGGAATGAGAATTCAAATTTGAAGCAGTAAAGCAAATCAGATTTATTCTCGAATAGGTGGTATTTTAAAGGAGCAGAAGAGGAAGCTTAGAAGCTGTGCTGTTGGCTATTTATAGCTTGTGACTTGCGCTATGGACTCTGTCCTCATGTCCGCCTGTGATCGTGTCCTTTAGTGGTCGCGTCCTCTGGCCACAGTACTGGTGCGGGCGTGATGGTTGAGCGCTCTTAGTAATGGATTTAAGCTCACGAAGGGGGTGTATCCTGTGTGGAACGAGCGAGATTACATGATCTTACTAGTACGGTATCAAACATGCATCTTATGTAATAACTACCCGAGATATATTCGGGCCTTTTCAAACAGTATTCCACGGTCCTCGGACAAACTCTCAAACCTGCACCGAAGGGCAGTTTGATACGAGGGTTGGGGGAGAACTTAAGTGAGAGTTGATGCAGCATTTTTCATTTCCCACCAAACCTTTACCGAAAGCAAAACCTTTTTTGTGAAAGTGCAGTATATAAAAATAGACGTGTGCTCCTCTGACAACGCAATGAGCACACTCTCCCAGACGCAAGCCTAATACGTTACCCAAATAGGTCAATTACCACTTCCACCACCTCTGGTCTGTCCACATCGGTTGCTAGTTGGGCTGCTTTAGTGCTAGCAAACCAACGCTTAAGTTTAGCGAACATTGGGAAATGATTTTTACACCACAAATTGATCACGATGTATGCACACATCTCCGGCGAATCGGTCATAGAAGAAAAAAAATCCCCCAAACCATCGCTGTGACTGTCTCGGTACACATAAGAGCTCCCCCCCCCCTCCAATCTCTAACTCTCATCTTCTCTTCACCACTCATCTAAAACCCTCAAATATTTTGATCAAAGTTCGCAACCCCTCCACAAACCTCCCACACTTAAAACGCTCCTCTCTACCAAACCCCCTAAAAACCCCTTCTACAAAACCCCACAATGTCCGACTACCCAAACTACGGCGCCATGTCCTACCTTCGCGAAATCTTCAAAGCCAACCCCCCACGCTACGGCCCCAGACCCGTCATGGACACATACACACGGCCCGCAGCCACCCACTACTCCACAGGCATGAAAGCAGCGCCCGCCGAAGAGAACTGGTTCTCCAAGGCGTTCAAGTTCCCCTATGTCGGCCACTCGCTGGAAATGGACGAGCTGACCAAGAACCACTGGGAGTACAAGCGGGATCTGAATATGTGGCCCGGTTTGTTTTTTTCCTCACCGATCCCCTCCGTTTAGTTCTGGAGTAGCTTGTGGATCGAGAGTGAGTGGTTGGCTAATATGGTATGGGTTCGGTTGTGTTGTAGGGCCTGTGTTGTTTGGGCGCCCCTCTTACGGTGGGCGCGGCGTCAGCAATAGCCAGTTCTTGGTGCAGCGGGATGGCGAGGCCCAGACGGGGGGCAGGAATATCCTTTGTGACTGCTTCGCCTCCGTAATACTCGTCCTCATCTTTCTTTCCCTCGGCGTGTGGTTCCGCCGTAGGAGATCCATGCGTAGAAAGGTGGAGGAGCAGCAGCAGCTGCAGCAGAGGAATCGTGATATCGAGAGAGCCCAGTTTGGGCTGTAGGTTGTTGGAAACATCCCTAAGTTTCTACTTTTTTGTATATTGGCGGTGGGTTAGCGAGGGTGTATTATATATCATGATGTACAGGGCGTTTTTTATTTGTGGGTTTTGCCCCTTTTTTTTTTATTTATTCATATGTTACTTTGTATACTAGCTAGCCAGCTATCACGAGTTTTACGTATAGCTGGCAGCTGTGGCATTATTTCAATCCGGGTGTGTACTAGCCAGCACCTAGCTATCACGATGTTTTTTTTCCGTGTAGCAGCTAGTTAGCTGGCAGTTATCACAATATACTTTTTTTTTTTTTTCTCTCTTCGGAATTTTTTTCAAGTGACGTGACGTACCAATTACCGAATCCCTCAGTTGCGTTGAGCTCCGCGCGCGCTCGTCGCCCACGGCCACACGAATTCGAAAGCTCGAATGCAAAACTGTAGCATGGTCGACCAAGCGTCTGATTAGACGCCATGAACAGCAATGTAGCAGGGTAAGTTATGAAAGCGTTGATATTGCCGCTGTGGCCATGTCCATGAGAGGTGAGCCACCTTTCCCGCGATCGATCATTGACCCCCATAGCCACCCGACCCCTCGAACTCTTGGCAGGAATCAAATCTAGCTACATCTCATCCAAGATACATCTGATCAGCCAAAGTACGCCAGGTACAGAAAAAAAATAAAAAAAATACATCATCGTGCGTAAACCCGAGACGTTGACTCATTCTTATATGACTGTTACACAAACCCGTTCTTGTGTTATGCCGTTGTGCTTCTGCATGCACGTATTATCTTGTATCTGATCATATCCAAAGTAAAATTTCGAGGCTTGTGCAAGGTCTTGGGCTGACTCTTAATTAATGTGTCCTGCGGTCAGAAACTATATGAGCTTGCCATCCGAAGGCCTAGGTGGTTCTTTCGTATAAACCTAGCTAACTTAAAGCACGAACACTGGAAAATATCGAAATTGCTGAAAATCGTTTTTATTTTATTTTATTTTCAGCTCGTATACAGCTACATAACACAAAAGAGAAAGAGAGAAAAAAGAAGGAAGATTGGAGATTTCGAATACGCAAAATAAGAAAATCACTGGCTTGCTGGAAACAAATTCCCCAGATAACAACGCTAACAATGCTGCTTCTAACGCCGCGATAGTCTTTCAACAGAAACAAAAGAAAAAAGGTCCATAATCATCATCCTGCCGGATTCATTCAAAAGGTGCATGATTAATTTGTTGCTCGTTCTCAACATTAGATATGAAGATTTCGACCGGCTTAACCATAGTCAATATCCCTCATTTCATTTCACCCCAGAGATCCTGAAGCCAGCTCTTCAGTGGTATCGGCTTAAACTTAGGAAACAGCTTGTTGACGTTTGCCATAGGAAAATCGAATTCCCCTCTATGAACCGCCATCATAACCTCGAGTTGAAACGCTTCGCCTGAATCTTGAACTTCCTCAGCGTCCATGAATTTATCATTAAGATCATCGATTGTCAGGTAGGTCACATCTAAAGCTTGTCCTTCATCAATAATCAAGATCAGTATACTTCTTCTTTATTCTTTTTTGGTCAGGGAGGTTAATACCTACCTCTAATCTCTTCAATAGTTTTCACAAGCTCCGAGAGCGTCAATCTCTCTCCACACATCCTCAAATGGTCTGGCCAGTCTTCAATGTCCAGGCACCTGGCCACAAATTTGCCCACATCCTCTACAGAAGTAAGACAAATATAGATGTCGGTATCTGCGTTGTCGAGAACAGGAATCCTCGCCTTTCCTTTATCTATGTCCGCCAAAAGCGAGCCAGCTTGCCCAAATCCAGCCACCGGACAGGTGTTCCCCATACTGGCCCCGGAATTGATAAGTCCTCCAGGATAAAACCACTCATAGAAGAAACCACACGAAAAGACAGTTGGCTGTATTTGATCTTGCACCTCTCGGAGTCGGTTCAGCGTTGTGATTCTGTCTCGGCATAGTTCGATAATAGGGCGTACGGAAGGTACACCTTCAAACTCTGCTGGGGCGAAGCGGCGAACACCTGCGGTTATACAAGCATCTATGAGTATGAGCTGAGGCTCTTTGGACACGGTTGATATAACGGTATCAACACCAGACAAGGCCGTCACCAGCGATTCTGGAACTTGGTAGTCGACACGAATGACTATGAATCCTTGATCTACCATATCTGGCCGTTCCTGCCCAAATTATTAACTCCACTATTTAAACAGAAAACAGAAATCGAAGGGGCATATACATATCGAGATAAAATCACAACTTCATGGCGCTTCTCCTCCAAAATTGCTGTTCCTATACTCCGAGCCAGCCCCGCAGTGCCTGCAACAGCAACCTTCATCACTTGGATATACTCTTATCTATGTTGATAGAGAGATCAAAGAGCAGCCACGATTGATCAACGATAAAGCGAATGTGGTGTGCTATTCTCAAACTTCTATTCCGATGAATTCATATCAGGGACCATAGTTTACGTAATGGAATCTAAGGAACGCACCCACAGTGCTTGAGCAATTGTTTCTTAGAATGACTAGCTTCGGGTTTCTCGATCGAGCCGAATGAAGATTGAACTAACGAGGCAAGTTGGATGCAGATAATTGGAAACGAGTGACAGGAGCCGACGGGATTAGACTTTTAACGACGATATGCCGAAAGGACGATGATGGAAACTCGATAATAATTTCTGAATTGAAGGGCGTTAGGGTAGTACGGTATTATACTTTAAGCTTTTCGAAACACACCACGTACTCTTCTTCTTAGAATTGACAGCAAGCGCCGGAAATAGCCTCCTACAGGGAGGTACCAGGTCTGCGTCTGTGTGATATTGGTATACACGAAAGTGGCCACTTCTCACATGGGGGTTTCCCTAATGGAGAGATCGGGGTGGGAATCGAGTGATACTGCTCTCGGGAGATATTCTTGCTTTCTCGTCTTAGTGTCTCATATGGTGATTCGCAGCTAATTTCATCCCTGATCAGCGTTTCTAGAACAATTAGTTTTTTTTTATACCGAAATCCTATCATAGACTTTCCATTTGTGCCACATGTAGAGGAAAATAGCCAAGAAAATAAATGAAAAAGGTACCATTGCTTGGAAAGGGGGTAGGAGCCAGTTGGGGGGGGGGGGGGGCGTGCGGGGAATAGGTGTAGGTTCCGAATAAGAGCTATTCTCTATAATTATTGGCGTATTGTTTTCCACGTATTCTCTAAATATATGCTCTCATTCTCCATTCCGTCCTTCTGTATTGAAACGGCCCTTCGTATAGAACAAACCCTTCAGCCTCGCAAAACCTGTTTTTTCCTCAACGAAGTTCTCCACTTTTTTCAGCTGGAACTCCGGGGAACGAATGATATTCTTTACATCCCAGTCTCGGCTGTTGGCTCGAGGGAGTAAAAGAAAAAAAAAGTAAAAAGAGTGGTGTGTGTAAGAAGTATGCAAAATGATCCCAAACCGACAAAAAGGGGGTTTCAAGCTTACCTTTACTTCTATAATTTTATGCAGGCTTTCCAAATATCGGAAGAACAAGTAAAAGTAAGAGCTCCCGTTGATATTCCCCGTCGATCTTGCTCGAGAATATCCACTCAACCCTACTCCGTGGCGGCGGGTCTACTGAAGAAACGTTACAGCAGTCCAGCTACTTTCTCTTTTGCTTATTACGGCCTTGGTCTCCCGAATGCGGGACCTGTGAGACAAGGGTATTTATTTTTACTCGTGCTGGAAGGATTTTGACCCGAGTGAAAAGTACCGGATCAGAGGAAATGGTTCGAAGAGGGGTGGGCCGAGAGCAATGGATTAGAAAAAGAAATCTAGATAAGCCATACATAAACCGTTAACCTCTACAATTACTAATAAACTGCACATCGAGAGGTCTTTAATATAGGAAGGGGAATCTAGGGACATGAATGAGGTATTTACATACCTACTATGTACCAATATCTCCGTATTTGGAAGATTCGTGCTCACGACTCTATATTGTTCGGCTCTTCTCTGGAACAGAATGAACTAACCAGGCCCTGTGCCACGCTGCTATTTGTTAGAGGTCCAGGGGTGAAATAGGGTCTTATTGGACCGGATTAGCTGGCCTTCGCATGAGCGTATGCACCTAGTGAAGAATATATGACCCACTACTTTTTCAGGACTGTAAAGATTTGTGCAGGCTTTGGCCACTCGATCGTAGGTGTGTGCGTTGGAGAAAACCCCTTACCGGACCTGCAGATAGACCTGCAGCCTGAGTTTCAGGGTGGTTTATGTTTTATTGTGCAATGGTGAGAAAACCTGTATTGAATATAAGGTGTGGCTGAACAAACGAGCCAGTAAAGGTATTTCAGCCGTAAGGCTGTAAGGCTGCAGCTGACAATCACTAAATACGAATCTTGCGTGACAGAGTACTTGATAGACAAGAATCAAAGTCCAATGTCTGTAGAGGACTTCTATGGCTTTTATATCCATCATGTTGACCCCAGAAGGTTGCAACGTTGAGTATACGAGATACTCATGGGTCGGTTCCGGTATCCATCACGATTAAACTAGGTCCAAGAGATATACCAAGAGACCCAAATATCGAAGAGGTTGGAATTCAAGACTTGGATAAACAAATTGATGACGGAACCAAAAGCCTTTAGGTAGAAGCCCTCAGACGGTGAGCAACTATGTTTAACTTTTCTTGGCTGTGCTTCTAGGCTGAAGCTTTAGCAGTTCTCGTTGCCTTTCAAGTCCCTGTCTACTCCGACAATCAGCAAACCTGTTCTTTTGTTGTATATTTGCGTTTCGGTCCACCTACTAGTAATGAGTCACACATGTTAGTTCCACTATAACTTGCTGAGATATCACGGAGAGACCCCATTAACGCATCTCCAGAAAATCTGGCCCCCATCGTCTCCAAGCCCCCGCCAGTACCAGTTGATAAAACTCCCTACACGAAAAAGCCAAAAAAGCGTCAAAGTCTAAAAGTATTTCCTGCAGCAGCGATGACTCGGCAGGATACGGAACGGACGTTGTTTCCCTCGACCTGGATAGACGCGTTTGGGAGTTCATCATTCCCGTGACAGCTTCCTTGGCGGCCATGGGGGCTATGGGCTAGGGTTAGGGCCTTCACAATGACTCGAACTTAGGTACCCGCGGACCTGCAGCTTCATTCATCCCTTTCGTGCAACCATTCGCTTTTTTTTGATCCAATTGATTACTCGCCTTTCGGATGGGATGGAATGGAGCGGGGTGCAGTTAATCGTGCAGCGCAGCAGGCAGATGCGAGATGAACACCTGTCGTACGGGACGTTGATCTAGCATGGGTTCTTCCTGGATTCTCCGTACACTGCCGGTCCGTACGTGTAGCCTTCGTATGCTATATAACAAACACCAAACCGGCAGAAAACTACGAACTGTATGACACAGAGGTCTTCGCTTTGTGCCTAACTCCAAACGCACGAATTCTCACGACAAACGAGGGAACATTCGGGCTCGAGTGATACGCCATGATTCAACAATGACTCAGTAATGACAGTGCTGCACGTATACATCTCTGGACCTGGCGACAAAAATGTTATCCAAAGGAGGGCCATTACGGGTGTTCAATACAACAACCCTTGATCTCTTCAACAAATCAAGTTGTCTCTTTCGTACCCATTTCAGTTTAGGTCATGAAATCGTCTTTTTATAAGAGTACACCTATGATATACCCACCCTAGAAAGATACAAGTATCGGATGATCTCCAACCCGACATATAGAACCATGTCACCAAATGAATTATAGCACTAGGATGTGGTACTCATACGGAACGTCCTAGACCACCGTTTACTGGCAGGGGAGCAAAATTCTAGAAGTACGAAACAGGCTCTGCCCTGTAATAATTCGGCCTTAAATATTCCGTAATCTGGGCAACAGTACAATTGGCGTATCTACCGACGAAGTACCTACAAACCACATCACTCGCCTTTCAATCCCTTACGTCAGTCCACACAGAAAACATACCAAACAAAACCTCCTTACCAAACAAAACAAACCAAACCGCACCAATCCTCACTCAATTCACGATATACCCATATATCCGCCCCTTACGTTATCCCATCGACACCACAATTTCCACTCTACCGAAAAAAATTACCAAAAATAACAATAGGTATTCTGCCTAGGGTGCCCGAAAATTAGGTTAACTTATGATCTCCCCATCTGTCACATCGGCCCAATAGAGCGTTTTGGCAACCGCCCTTTTCCAAATTTCTAGGTCAAAATTTGAGTTCTTGGCTCTGCGCTGCTACAAGCATTTACAAGTCGATCTTCCAGGATCTGCTGCGATTTCACACCAAAGAAGCAACGGAATCGCTTCTAGCGGCGCAGAGCCAAGAACTCAAAATTTGACCTAGAAATTTGGAAAAGTGCTGTTGCCAAAACGCTCTAATAAAAGGGGATGGATTCGCGCTCCGACGCGTGAACGCGTTCTTTCTGTGGCTTAGTGGCTTGTGATAACGTGCATGCGTGCTTTTTTCTCCCTTAAAACCGCACGGTGCTTGGCACCGCCCGTTATGTACCGGGGTAATTAAAATCGAACCTTCAGCCAGTCTCCGAGGTCGATCATAAGGGGGGAGATGCAATAGTTAGGCAGGCTTTTAGCACGCGTACTCTAGTTATTTGGGTTTTTTCTCATGCGTCTACATATATGTATACAACTCGCGTTGATATGAAATTAGAGATTTTGAGTCCTTCTAGATGAGATGGAAATGACTGGACTCGAAATGGGATGAATGTGTGTTTAGGATAGCGTCAATGATGGACAGGACCCTAGTTTATGAGGTGAACCCTAGCTCCCGAGCAAGGGGCCGTGCATGATGAGCGCGTGAAGAGGAGGAGCGATCACGATCACGATATCTTGGCAAAAGACGATAATACTGTGCCTACTAACCACTCCAGATGCTGCAATCGAGTACACACGCGCAGTGGAGTACAGGTTGTATCATGTTGTAGTACATAGTACCAACTCCAATGACACGCCCGCGTCTATCTCCGCCGGCGTTTAATATCTGACAAGGCGGGGTGGGCCGGCCGCCAACCACCCGCTGTTAATGTCATAGTGCATCAATCATCAGGTCAGACCTCTTAGCAGTAGGGCTCATACTTACGCTTTTACCTACGCGCTTTTGCAACCAGTGTGTCCACACTCTACTGCTCTAGGCTCCCCCCCGAGTCCCCTCATCTAGAAGTTCACCCCCCAGCCCCCCCCCCCTAAGTGATTCTGAACTGTACGCGTCTCCCACTTAGATCTCTTACCTTCGCTCTTCCCGCTGTCTCCCGCCTCTTTTTCTTTCCCTTATTTTTCTTTTGGAGCATTCCCTTCTCCACCCACCCCCCTCCCCTCCCCCCACTATTCCTTCTATAGGATCGCATATCGAATACGCGAAAATCCCAACCATGGATCCTATTACAGAGCCTCATCCAAGTTCCAGCAACTCAAACTACGCTTTTATCACACATTCCCAGGAGACACTTCCAAGGAATCTGCCTCCTTCGATTGATAACGCGAATCTTGCCCGTCGCCGTCGAAGGCGTACTTCGGTCCACGATCAGGCAATTTTGGAGGAGGAATATCGCATATGTGATCGCCCGGACAAGACCAAACGGAAGGAGATTTCGAGTAGGGTGCAGATGGGTGAAAAGGAAGTGCAGGTAAGAAACAAATAAATGGAATATAGTAACGATTTTTTTTTTTTTTTTATTTTTATAAAAGTTTATGAAGGATTTCTTTTTGAACGCGCTAGAAGTTGTTTTGCTGTTTTGCGCGGTACTGGGAAGGAGTTGTTGGTGGTGATGAGAATTGCGATTGATATTGAAAAGACGCGCCTGCCAGCATATGTCTCTGAGCACGCTAGCTAACGAACGTGGACCGACGCGTCTCTCACTTAGATCTGGTTCCAGAACAAGCGGCAGTCGGCGCGCCGCAAGGCCAAGCCCTTGCTTCCTCACGAAATCATCCCAAACACCACCACCAACAATAGTAACAATAATAGCAGCCAACAATATTCCAGTCAGCAGGAGTATTCGCAACAAGGAATGATGATGCCGTCATCATCCCAGTACTCCTCTTTTGACAATTCCCAGCAGTCACTCTCAAGGGAGGATATAAGACACATGAGCACGTCTTTCAATTCGGACTCCCACCAACACCGCCGCCGCTGCGTTAGCGTGTCATCAGGGATCGACTTCGGAAGCCCACAACCACAACGTCTGGCAGATCGCGGATCGTTCAGCAGCGACGTGTCGGCCTCTCAAGAGAGTGCAAGATCTAGAAGTCAGCCAATTTATCTTGGCCTTAGCGACGCGGATCCCGATGATGAAGATTTCGATGACGACGATGACATTGGCGAAGAAGAAGCAGAAGAAGAGGAGTTGCGTCTGAGGGAAAGAAGCGCTGTAGAGTCCCCTCACCACCATCTGCCCCAACGCCGTTACGAGCCCTCGTACTACAGTAAACGTCAGAAGCTCTCATCACGGGACAACCATCTTCTAGCTCTTCTTCAGCAGTCCTCGCCCCCAACTTCCTCTATTCCCAGCCAGGAAAGCCAACATCAACAGAACCTCTCGCTTAGTAGCAGGCACGACCAGCCAGAACCAGAAATGACTACCTCGGCACACCAACGTCTACAGGATGTTCTCTCATCCATGCAGGACATCATCTCCTCCTCCACCCTCGCCAAACCAACCTTCACTAATTCGAGGCGAACCAACCCCAACCCCAACCCCACCACGCCCCATGCCCCACCTCGCCTGCTAAAACGTACCTCATCAATTCGACTCTCTACCTCTCTTGAGGGCAAGGCCACTATCGTACTCGATGAGGAACCAGAATCCCCACCTTCTTCGCAGCAAACACTGCCTACTCCGAAAAAGCCATCTCCAATTGCCAGTAGTGGCCCGCCCAGAAAGATTGTAGATAGTAAGATATGGGAATTTTACTGCGACAACCAGGCCATGATTCGCTCGCCAGCTACTCACGCGAGCCTTCAGACCGCTGCGGAGGCTAAAGAGGCCCTGGGTCTCCTCCGGAGAAAAAGCAGCCATTTAAAGCTCCCACCTCCTCTACCACCGAGCAGTCCTGTTACACACCGGAAGCATGGAGGCAAGCTTGCCCAACCTTCTTCGCCAACGAAGGCGAAGAAGTCTCGTAAAATCCTCTCGGCAAAGTTATCGCGTTCGAAAGCTGTTCCAGCCGCTAAAACATCAGGCTCAGGCAAGAAATTGGTCGATGGTCTCCCGTCAGAGCTGGGCCAGGAAAGCGATAAAGAGAACCGCCCGCCTGGCGCCCCAGTCTCACCACCTCCAGAGCCAAGAAGACGTGGTGGCAAGGGTGAGGCCAAGAAAGCCCCCGCCGAGAAGCCCAGCAAGAAGAGGAAGAGGAATGCAATTGCAGCCGATGAGAGGAGGATTCTGGAAGACCACAAGACTATTCCGAGCCAGACCTCAGCGGTTTATGATGTTCCGAGCTCATCGCAGGCCATTGACAATTTCAGGTCTGATGGGCCGGTTGCTGATGAGTATGGGATGATGTTGAGCCAACGGAGCTTCAGCAACTACTTCGCATCCAGTCAGGAATCCGGCCCAGCGGTGATGGATGAGATGGAGTGTGTGGAGAACTTGCTCAGTTTAAGAGGCGGAACTTGGAGATAGCGAAATTTAAATTTTTCACCGCCATTTTTTTTTTTTTTTCTTCTCTCTTTTTCTTTCTCACATCTAATTTTATTGGATCAACCTTTTTTTCCTTGGTGGGTTTGCTTGCTTTTTACTAACTTGGTTTTGGGAGGCTCGATTTGCACTTTTACTTGCGCTTTCACTCTTTCATGTCACTGGTACATACAACTTTACCCTCCCCCAATTTTTCTTCCCTATTTTTTTTCGTTTTTTTTTTTTTCCTAGCTAGATTTGCACATATTTCGAATCTTCTTTTACTCTCATCTTTCATATTCTTCTCTTCACTATCTCTTCGGCGTTCTCTTATTCTTTTTTCATTACAGGGGGCAACTTAAACACTAAAGCTTTTTGCTATATCTCTTTTTGAGAGTCTTACAAGAAGCTTGTTAGTAGATCCTTCAGGACTAAAGCTGGGTAACTAGCGGGGGAATTGGTGACGACCTATTCATTCGGGACTCAACACGAATTTGGGTTTAGAGGCTGTACTTATAGGCTGTATATATTGAATGAGTAGAAAGTAGTGGCGGCGGAAGGGATGGCTGAGGTGGGAGAGGGATCGAGATGAGGAGGAGAAGAAGGAGGCGGTTTTGCGTTATACCATAGGGAATGGAACAATCTAGGGCGAAGGCCCTTGCCTCCATCACTGAGCTGTGCAATCTGAGTCGTAGAGAACCACGATATACTGTATTGATATCTCCATTCGTGGTAGAAGTGTACAAGTGATTCTTTTATTGTATAGTTGCGAATGAGGCAGATCACCTCCAATGACTCGGTGATTCTTGATCACAGTATATCACTCGCTATCACAAATCAGCATTATTCTCACACACACACGGGTACTAATACTCACCCATACTTCGCCAGCCATACAAGTCAGTTATGTTCGTCTAACGGCGCGTTACCGACGATTTTGAGATCTCTGTTGATGACCGAGTGATAAACCATGATTCAGTGGCCTGTACTCCGCCATCAATTGCACCACAGTGACGGTGATTGATTGATAATTCATTAATTGTATGCAGCCACAGTAACGGTAGGATAGATGGTTATACAGTCATTTTCTTCTTTCTTGAGATCTTACGGAATGTCCTGGCGGCTGTGAGTGGAACGTCAGTCTAGCGGTCACGGCGCCGGCCGGCTATGGGCACCTATCTCACTCTATATTCCACTCCACACCCCTTGTCTTCGTATCTGTCCCCATATCTTGAGTTGGTGCCTAGAGGCTAGAGTAACATCGTCGTCTTCCTTGAGGATTGAAAGCGTTATCTAATCGTGCCAATTACTCGGCCCCAGACGCCAAGATCAGCCCAATCCTCTTCCATGCCCCGCCCCCCGCCTCACTTCGGAGGGAACTAATGATACTAACAGCTTATGAAACTTTCACGCGCGCCTCGGCTCTGCCCTGCACTTGAAATCTCCCGAGCTGCTACTCAGAGGTGGCGCGAGAGTTGACTGCCTCGTTGTCCTTGATGGCCGAGCTAGATGGGTGTCGATGGTTCGACAGGTCAACCGCCGAGGCAAGGTGGTACACCCTACTGGCTAGCTACCTAGTACCAAGACGTGCATTTATGAACGGCGAGTCTTTTGCCTGTATCATGGGATCTTGGATCTGGATAGCTCTAGACCTTGGACTTCAACAACTTAATGTCTAAGCATGAACCTGAGCCTGGGATTGAGACGCAAGACAAAGACTAGCTACACACTCCAACCAGTCAGTACCGCAAACAGGACAGAACTACCGCCAGTACAGTCTGGTTACATATATACCTTGCAATTGCGGATTATAAGAAGATAAAGATTAATCAACCGTGGCCCATTGTAGAGCTCTTGATATTGGGCTAGCTTCGACCACATAGTTGCGGGTATAATTCCATGCCTACAAGAGACTATTCTAGTCCCCAGTCGGTCGATTTTACGAACAGGACATGCACTGTCTCCAGTACATTCTAGGTATATATACTTTGCGATTGCGGATATATGAATCTCATCCCAGTAAATTGCAGTCCATTATGATTATGGTTATACATAGCTCTTAACTTTGGGCTTTAATAAGTATGTACATACCGGTAGTTAATCATGATATAATTCTGTACCTGCGATATTGACTACTAGGACTCCAGCTGGCCGGTTTTCGAAACAGGATATGGGCTATCGCCAGTTCGGTCTGCTTATATATATAACACCCCGCGGCATATACGTATAAATTTCAGAAATCAATTAACTATGGTCCATTGTGGCTATATAGCTCGTGATATCATATTGGAGCCACAGTGTCGATATATAGGTCAGTACCTACAAGATCGGATGGTATGGTCTCTAGCTTGAGTATCGCCGTACCAGTATTTTCTGGTCATATATGCTTCGAAATTGCGGAGTATAAACACAAGAATTCTATCAATTGCGTTCCGTTGTTATACATAGCTCTTTACCTTGGATTTAGACTTCAACTGCATCGTGGTGATACAAGTCTAGGCGTGATCGTGGGCCTATAAAATTGGCTATGCGGGTACTAGGGCTCGAGCTGGTCGAGTCAATGTTACAAACAGGACAGGGCTATCGCCATTATACCCTGGTTATCCATGGCTTGCAATTGAGGATTGTGCGAATCCAAAGACTCATTAATTACGTATCGCTATGGCTGTATACGCTGCTTTCGAGGTGTTATTTCACTGGATCTTTCAGGACTGCGCAATACACATAAGTCCTTGATGGCGGTGAGGGGAATGATGCACAGGATTGATGAGGAAGGTTATTGTTGGTTTTATGGTGGGTGTCTTTGTAGTTGGCTTTCTGGGAAGGGTTGGAAATGGATTTTGTATAGATTACTAGCTAATAGTGGGTTTTAGATAAAAGTCAAAGATGAGTGGTAGTGGGGCGGTATTACTGATCAATTGCTCGACGAATTGTTATTTCTAATCCCAAAAGAGCCCTAGCAAGGTAATTACACACGAGCGATTGCTTATTCACGTTCAAGGAACCACTAAAAACTAATCAGAGAAAATTAATAATAAAAGGAAAGCTCGATATTACTAAAGGCTCAGCTAGTGAAATAGCTAGTTATCTACTATGTGCTAATGAAGAAGATACAAATTGTTTTTTCCCGACTGCCTATAAAACGCCATTTCCCAAATTCATTCCCGAGGCCACTTTAAGCCTTTCCCTTTCCCTTGCCCTTTCCCTCATACTCCTCTTCCTCCTCCTCGTCTTCCTCCTGGATATCCTCCATCCCCTTATCCTCCTCCTCGTCCTCCTCCTCCTCGTCCTCCTCCTCCTCATCATCCGAGCTCAAAAACTCATCATCCTCATCCCACCCCGCAAACCTCGGCACAACCTTCCTCGCCTCCCCACTCCCCTCCCCCTCCCCCTCCCCCTCACTCTCATCACTCCCACTCCCCGAGCTCCCCTCCGCAAACACCCGATCCGTAAACCCCTCCCTCATCGCCCTCTCCACGGCCCCCCTCGTCCGCTCCCTCTCCTCCTCCGTCTCCTCCAGCCACTTGACATCCTCGAACCTCCTCCCCCCCCCTTCCTCCTTGCGCTCCGCCGCCTCAATGACCTTCAGCGCGCGCGCGCGCCGCCGCTCCCGCTCCTGCCGCTCCATGTCCGGCTTGATCTCGAGGTAGGCGGCCAGCGCTTTGGCCTCCTTGACGGTGCGCATGCGGCGGCCGTCGAGGTTGCGGCACGAGTCGTTGTTCTCCTGCTGGCCGCGCTTCTTGCGGGAGCTCATGCGGCCGCCGGCGGCGCGGAGTTGCGAGCCGAAGCCGCCTTTGCCGCCGGGGAGGGAGAGGGTGAGGCGCAGGGGGAGGAGGGCATGGCCGTGGGTGAGGGTGGAGAGGGGGAGGGGGGAGGAGGGGGAGAGGGGGGTGCCGGAGGTGGTGGAGAGGAGGAGGCGGTAGGGGGTGGGGGGGAGGAGGGTGGTGAGGTGGGCGTGGAGGGTGTGGATCTTTGTGGTGGAGGGGAGGGGGAGGGTGAGGTTGGGGAGGCCGGGGAAGGTGGTGATGAGCGCGTTGATTGTGGTAGCCATGGTTTGTGAGGGTGGGTTATGTGTATTTATAGTGTTTTGTGTGTGTGTTTGTGGTTTTGTGTGTGTGCTTGTGGTGGTTTCCTTCTTTTCGCGTATGATGATGATGAGGAGGAATGATGGAGATGGAGGACAGAAGTGGCGACTAGGGTGCCAAGGGTTTGCAAAGGCTTGGCAGTCACAGGATGTCACACGGATTTTTCGGGCAGCAGTTCGGAACACGAGAAGATAGATGAGGAAGAACTCGAACAGAGGGCGCGTTCCAGCATTCTTATACAAACACTAACATTTACGCCAGGGCGGCCTAAACTACATGTACATGTATGACTCTCTCTTGACATCTCCGTCAATGATCAGGGAGTGACTTCACTCTGGAGGAAGGGTCCGGTCCGGTGTAGCAACGCAGCAACGCAACAACGCAACGAAGCCACACCAGTTCACTACCAGGCTCCAATTGGTGGGTAAATTGGCCGAGAAATTAATTCTGTGCCCTCTCTGAGCTTTAGGGAGGTTTGGGGTTTATCGGTTGTGTGGTTTTGTTCTTCGGAATAAGGGTTTGTTTGGAATAAGGGTTTGTTTGGAATAAGGGTTTGTTTGGAATAAGGGTTTGTTTGGAATAAGGGTTTGTTTGGAATAAGGGTTTGTCTGTGCGGACGGTTTTGGCGGGTCGACGTCCGGGTATGACCACCCTCCAACAAGCACATAGGACATCGCTCCCAGGCCCGCAACCAATAACTTCTTCAAATGCCGCATCAACTGGTGAAACCGGACAACCCGCTAGATAGCTAGCAACGGGAGTACTAGCCAGAATAAATCAGAATTTGGCATTCGACTCTCGTTGAAGATTCGATTTCTCAAAGATTTTTTTCAGAGGGTTAGGTTTAATTTATCGGTAAAAGACTACAATGCCACGGACTTTTGTGATATATATCTAGGATACTAGTACCATGGCAACACCACAAACAAAGACCTTGGTTCCATGGACAAAACTATGAAATAAAAAAATAAAAAAAGATGTTCAGCTTTAGGGTAGTTTTTTCTCTAATTTTCTACTATTTCTCGGTCCACCTTTGGGGACTGTACTCAAGCAGGAAGGTTGACTACTGCTGGCAATAGAAAAACACCAGTTAAAAATAACATAGTTTTCCAAATGACTTTGACAGGTGTAAATCTTTAAATTCGCAGGTGTTTTTATTTTATTTTTCTATTGATAGTGAAGTCGCGGGATATCTGGTGTGTGCGATGGTTGCCAATAACAACAGTTAATCTTAGCACTGACATTACACGGTTGGCCGTAAACTCTACGGTGTTTTTTCCATTGCTTACATTACACGGTTGACCATAGTGGCTACGGTCTTCTTGTGACTGCTTACACTGTCTGGAACACCATAGTGACTACGGTCTACAGTTGATTTCTTACACTGTATTGAACGCCGTAGTGACTACGGTCTACAGTTGATTGTTTATACTATATTAAACACTATTAAGTGACTACGGTGTTGAATTAGTTAGTTAGTTATGCCTAGTTAGGGTTTGATTTTTGCTGCATATACTAGCTACCATACATGGCACCCTAGATATATATGACAAAAAAGCCGTGGAATTGTAGTCTTTTACCGTTAATTTATTTCCTCGTTAGCGGTTGTCTGATATCACCAGTCGGTGCGCGCGGTACCTGCAGCTGATCTGAGGCACTTTGGGTACAGGGTCCTACAGCTAGCGACATGTAGGGATCGGACATATAAAAATACGGTACCGTAATGTATGTAGTAAACTGTAATGGTATTTTTTTTGTATAATACACGTATTTTTCCGATGATACCATGGAAAAATACAGACTAGGGAGAACTAACCCTAAATGGGATGAAATAAGCCCAACTAGGTTAATTTGGGGAAGGGTTTCCAATCACGAAGTATCACCCATATTTTATCTAATATGTACTGAAACTTGACTGCGATAATATGGGGCCACTACTAAGTACATGTAGTGCAAAGCACAAGGAATAAAAATATCAATTCCAAACCCCAAAACTCCAGAGAGTACAAAAACAAAATACCTGGTGGCCCAAGACAAGTTTATAAGACCTTAATCTTATAAACCTGCTTGCCCAGGAGTGAGCGGAACCGCGGTCTCCCGGGCAACTACCTTGGGAACCGTACCCCAATACCGCTAGGCCATTGGGAGGTTCGGTGTTCTCAACTGTAGAAATTTAATGAGCCAAACCTTTAACTTTGGGCGGGCTTGGCACTCCCAGACACCTACATATTGAGCAAAGGGCATACGCGGTACATACTACTTAGCATGGCTACTAGTACAGCGTATGTGCGTAAGTAGTTCCTGGCTACAAATTACCTACAATATGGCAAATACAGCCATCGATGCCAGAAACCTCGTCTCAGCTATCCAAACGAACCTACATAGCTAGTACTAATACCAAGAATAAACATCTACACCAGCAAAGATCCACGAATGCCCCAACTTACCACCGCGCACCAATACCCTCGAAATTCCGGTAGGTACATGCACGTAGCTACATGTATGTATCTAACAGGAAATAAGAGACGCTGGATGAGGCGGACAGTGTATTTCAGATAGTATAGAGTAATTACATATATACAACTTCAATTCCCATTTTTAAGCAAGACAAAGGCGGAACTTGAACCCCCCCCAACCTACAGAACCGCAGATTCAGTGCTGTGTTCTTTGATACAAGGGGGATGTCACGTGTTGTTGGTGGTGTTCTTCCTTTGCTTCTTATCTACCTATCCCACTTACCCACCTCGATCTACCACACCAACCCCCTCCCCCCCATCTACCTCTATCTACCACGCCAACCTGCAGCTGCGGTCTACTCAACCCACAAAACTAAAAATGCTTACAAATTTACAGACAACCTAGCTGTCTAGTTGTGGAGTACAGCAGCGCTCATGCCGAGTCAGTGGGGCGTGCATCTAGCAAACAAAGCCAGATTCAGTCCACGCAACGTTCGTGGCCGGGGCAAGCATATATACGGCCCAAACGTTCGTGGATGGGCCCATATATTACGCCTCGTACCTGGGGCCTTTGGGGCTGGGGGGCTGGGGGGCTGGGGGTCTTCATGCTGCACTAGTTTTACCTTGGGTCGAGCTCAACGACCCGCTTTGGAGGAATCTTGTCAAATCGGACCAAGACGGGAGCTCTTGACCTCGTATCCAGTCTGTTATTTTGTGCAAAGTTGGGTCAAGCAAATACCAAATCAAAGACTGGGTGAGGTTGGGAACGAGCTCAGGGAACTCTGTTAGTTAAACATCAATACTATCAATACCCCACACCTCCCCGCCTAGATGTACCAGCCTTGGGCAACCAAGCCTCGGATACTCGAGAATGGTGTAATAGGGATTAGAGATTGGAGTTGATCCTAACTAGAGATTACCACTGGATTGCGCCTGCACCGGCTATATTGTCTGTCCGGCCTATGGTCAGCTAAACAGAGTACTAGGTATTGTCAAATAGGACGAGGGAAGGTAGAAGCAGGTACTCTCGAGATCACCCTTCCACTCGCTTCCAAATCGCAACAGATTAAAGCGGGAGGGATGGCTAAACACATATTGGGTGGATTCCATGAGTACCGCCAACCAAATGCCTCAGCTTTAGACATGAAGCATGTCTGAGAGATATACCGGAGAGGAATGACGCCGGTCGAGATAAAGAATAGAGATGAAACACCAGAGATTAAACAGACACCAGCCTCTAGATTTAGATCTATGTGTATGTTTACATCTGCTTATAATTACCCAAACGAAGCACCAAAAATACATATAAAACAAGAGATCATCAAAACCTCATCCCATCGACATAGCGCCCAATACCAACACCCACCAGAACCACCAATCGCAGCTCCACGCCCCCATTCGCAGATGCGGATCCAACAATCTTTCATATCTACCACTCCCCGACAACAACCGCTCCCCAGAAGACCATCCCCAAATAGCCAACTCGATTACTCACCCATGCCCATCCAGCCCCCACTCCATCCATCCCAATCCAGCCCCCACGCCCTACCACCGAGTGACACGCCATGACCCAACCCAGCCAACCCCACCCGTTCGTTCGTTCGTTCGCTCGTTCGCGCCTCCCAACCCCAGCACGTGCCCCGCACCGTTCGATCAGGCACCGATCTGAGCCCTTTCCCCCTGGCATCTCATCTCATCGCACTTACCAAAAATAAAAAAAGATAAAGATAGAGGATAAGGCTGCACTGGATAAGACAAGAATTCAGAACTAGACCAAACTAGATGAGGTTGTCTTCTGCTCCATATATCGTCTCCCACCACCACCACGCGAAAAACGTAGTAAAGATTAAAAAAGCGGGGTTGAAAAAAAACTTTCCTTTTTAAATTTCAGTCCCTTTTCATTTCCTTTTTTTCGTTCTACTAAACCACCCAACAAAGGAGAACGTCCATCGCTGTGCTCAGTGGGGTATATAGAGGAAGGAAATAACAGAGAGAGAAAGTAAGAAAGAAAGAGAGAGAAATATAATATATATATAAACCACGGAAAGCAAAAAAAGGTAGCCTGAGAGAGAGAGAGAATTCAACTCCCCCCACACTCCCCCACCACCCCACTCGCCCCGACTCCAAAAATTCATTCACATTCACATGTTAAGATAATAATGATCCCAAATTACAGCGCAACACAAGACAGACAAAATAGAAAAAAAAATTCAAATAATAACCCCACATCCGATCCTCTTGCCCAAATATTCCGAGTCAAGGTTAACGAGACGCGGGGTCCCCTTCTCTTCTGCCTTCTCCCCCTCCCCTACACCCAACTAACTTCTTCCTCCTCATGTCGTAAAAAAGCCAATAGTAAAATATCTGTTCTGTAGAAGAATAAAGAGAAGGAAGAAAAGGAAGAAACAAAAAGACCAAATACATAAAAACAAAGACAGAGACTCATAAACAAGCGGTCAATCATAGATATCGTCATAATAATAAAAAAAGCAAGAGAGAGAACTAAAAGA